CTATCGTGGTGGTGTGTGCAATGTAACCCCCGCAATAATCGAGGGACTAACTTTATATGAATTTGCTTTACAAGTAGCGGTAGCAGCCGCTGTAGCACGTCCGGTGAAGCCTGGAGCATTTCAGACAGAAATATCACAATATTTCTGCTCAAATATTTGTGTAATGCAAGCACTTAGTGTACAATTTAATAAAGTAGCTCTGACTTTTTGAAACTGCAACTGTTTTAATACTTGGTCCATTTGTCTGGGTCCCGTTCTTATCAGTGATGGGATGTAACAAAGTACAAGTACTTCGTTACTGTACTTAAGTACATTTTTCATGTCTCTGTACTAGAGTTAAACGTGGGTACTTTCTACTTTTACTTCACTACATTTTACATTAAGTATCTGTACTTTCTACTACACTACATTTCTATAATATGTTGCGATACACGTTACTTTCACGTTGTGGTTTTTAAAATATTTTCGTTAGTTTGAAAGTAACCAATGGCGAGAGGGGAGCTGGTCCATTGAATCACTGCAAAGTGGGCAAGTAACATTAGACCCACCTTCAAGAAGAGCTGGGCCAATGAAGTATATTCTAGTATATATGTCATTGAGCTGGGAGCACCAGCAGCACCGCTAACACACCCAAAATGGATTCCACCGTGGAGAGTCAGCCAGAAGATGCGCACCACCCATGACCTTATTGAAAGATTATTCAGTACAGCAGGACAGATACTCTCTCCCAAAAGAGCCAGACTGGACTCAAAAAACTTTGAAAACCAACTTCTTCTGAACTTGAACAAGAAATTCTTGCTGCAATATTAAAATGTGTCAGTTCATGAGATGTTAGGAGACAAGAGACGTCTCCAAATGACGCGACACTCAGGTCCAAGTTTTGAAAATGGTGTCAGGAAGTTAAAATATTGTTCACTATTGACCCAGTACAAGGTCGACTAGACAGTATTTTAACTGGAGTTGATGACAAACTGGAGTTGAAATGATCAGATGTTTCTTTGTTTGGTCTAATGATCCTTTTTTCAGGCAGACAACTTTTACTTAAATGTGTTTACTGCAGTTAAAATGACACATTGGTTTTGCTTTGTGTTAAATAAAAACTTTCAAAGGTGTAATCATTCCTCGTTCTTATTTTGCTTAATGACATTTAACTCTGCAGGTCATCCCTGAAATTCTGACGCACAGAATCACAAGTCCAAGTGTGAACGGTGTCACAGAGTGAACACAATAAAAACATGTATTATCTGCAGCATTGTTCATTAAAATGGCTCAACACTATTGATGTATTACAGAAAATATACATACTGTAGGCACTCTTAATGATATGTAGACCATTGCATTAGGTAATACATTCAGCAAGTACTCTATTTTTAATACTTTAAGTATTTTTAAAAGCAAGTACTTTTACTTAAGTTAAAAACATTAATGTGATACTTCTACTTTTACTAAGAATACATTTTTGTCTGTTTATTTGTACTTAGCTTAAGTAAAGTGTTTGAGTACTTTCTCCACCTCTGCCGTTCGGACCAGCTATCAGCTCATCAGACTGTTCAGAATTATATTTCTCCAAACTGAGTTTGTTCAAACTATTCTTAACAATTCTACAAAACCCCTCTAATAAAAATGTTGGAAGTATCCCTTTACATTAAGCACGTTTTCCTCCGTGTTCTTGGACTACAGTGGTCCCTCATTTATCACGGGGGATCCGTACCCTGAAGTCACACGATAAGTGAAAAACCACAAAGTAGGAATATAGTAGTCCAAGTTGAAGTTAAAGTAAAGTAAACTTTATATTAAGGCTGTAGAAAACCTTCCCACACTCTTGCAATGTTCTCATTTTAACAACATACGTTACTAAATTTTACTAACCAGGCTCTGCAGAACAGGAACGGCTCGGTTCTGGTCCGACCCGATGGATGGAAAAAAGTCCCGGTGCAGCATGACTGAAGCCCACCGCTCCGTCCAGCTTGATGTGCGTGTGCTGCTGCTCCAGGAGCAAGGCTGCCCAGGATTTAGTGTACCACCTCTGGCCCGGTCCGGACCAGCACCGCGCGACCAGAACCAGGCTGAACCCTGCAGCCGTCTGTCGCCTGCAGCTCCCAGGATCCGGGTCACACTGAGTCCAGATCAACTGCAGCCCAGCTACTCACCAGTGAAGACAGTTTTTGTGTAGTGTTTGTGTTTGTGTGTGTCTTGCTGTCTCTAATCCCTGCGTCAATATTTTTCTCAGGCTGATCGGTCCAGGAGACACTTGACTCAAGCTGTGAATAAGAGGAAGAGTAAGCGTAAAACCTGCCGCCCCAGCATCTTCTCTCTCCTCAGCCACGACTCGAAATCCAACCCCCTACAGGCGAGTTTCCATGACAACACAAAGGCAGCAGACTGTTAGCAGGGGATAAAGGGGTATGTGCTAGCAGAGTTGCATAGCGCCATTATTTAACTTGATGCTGCTTAATTACACAGATATGTTTCTTTAAGGTTTGCAATTGAAATACCATCTTGTAAAATAAGTCTGTTAAATAAATAAATAAATTGTCAGGTGACCAGAGTGAGGAGACAAGTGAAGCTTGATCCACCAAAGAGAGGGAAGTCGGGTCGTTCTGAAGCGTTCTCCGTCTTGGTGAGCTATCATGCCATGTTTATCGTCTCTGGAGTTTAATATTTGATTTGTGTTTAATCGAGACCTGTCCTCTGCAGGGACATCCACGGGCTGATGGTCAGAGCGATGGAACCAAACGGACCGTGCAGACGTCGGGTGTTGCAGGATGGGTTGTTCTGTCGGTTTCTCAAATCCTAACAGAGTGTGCACAGGAAGAAAAAAAAGTAGAGTAAACCAGAGCTGCTTTAAAACCTTAAGATGCTAGTTTAGTTTCTGAAGTGAGGCTCTGTGGAAAGGTTAAGAATAACTAGAAAGTTCCTGGAGAAACTTTGACAGGGACTGCCTATTTATAATTAAATTATTATTAATAATAAATGTTAATATTCATGATTATTAATATTAATAATGAATACTGATTATTAATTATTTATATATTGTTAATTTATTAATTAGTAAAATATTAATAATAAATATTAATAATATTCACACCAATAATTAGTATTAATTTTAAATATTACTTATTAATATTAATAATTATTGATATTAAAACAGATTATTATTAACCTTAATAATTTATAATTAATATGTATTATTAATATTACTAATTAATAATAATAATAACAGGTGATAATAGGTAATAATAGGTGCCTTCCTTGCATGTTGAACCAAAATGG